CTTGATAGCATGTTTAAATCTAGCCCATACCTGCGCAGGTACGTTGTAGCAACTGAAATGTGAATTAGTAGATTTTTTTTCTAGATTAGTAGATTTTTTCCAACTTAGTTACTCTTCTTTCCACAACTGTCGGCATAGGATACTGGGAGGTTGGAGAAGTTTTCCAAAGACTTAATTGTGTACAGCGCACAGGATAATCCAGGCTTGCAAGTCATGAGTCACGCATGCTGCCTTCCTTCCTTAATGTGTGACATTGCCCCATATTCTACTTCCATGCCGTTTAGCTGGGGAGCAAGCTTCCAAGCTTTGTGCCCCAAAAGGCCCATTAACACACAGGCCAGAAACTGTGTTAGTAGGAGGATTGCATTCCTAAAAAAATGTAGTATGTAGTGTCTTGCGGAATGTCTGTGTTGGGTATTGGGGGGGGGGGGGGTAGGAGGTAAATGAGCTGATAGGATTTCTTTTGCATTTAATTTGCATAGTTCTTTCATAACATTAAGGCATCTTAGGGGGAAAAAAAGCACACAAAAACCAGCACATAACATCGCTTGCCTTTGAACCTTTCCAAAACAAAAATTTTACAATAATAATGTGTGCAGAAGAAGGAAGAGGCAAGAAGTAGGTGTATTAACTGACGTGGAGACTGTGGGTAGGCTTGAAATTTATACTGTTCTGCAGATCTTGGCAGCCTGCCAAGGATTCCCCTTGTCCCCTCTGCTTTTCAACATGCATAAAGCCCACTGAGATGAGAAATAAACAGCATATTGCTATCAGACATGACTGGGAATATGCTTAAGTAGTGGATTCAGTTTAAGATCTGGTTAAATGCTGCAGTGTTGCTGTGTTGATGAGAAGAGCTGTGTTTTAAAACCCTCCATATGTAAATGAACTTTCAGTCATCCGCATGAGAAGAAACAGGACAAGATTTGGGGTCAGCAGGCTCAACTCTATTGAGTTGCTCATCCCAACAGGCCATTTAAAAATAGAGTGGTGCAGTAGTGATCTTAAAAATATTCTTACATTCCTTCCTTGGGAGGATAAACAAGTGCTTCAGTATGAATTTCCCTCATGAAAAGAGGGAAAGAAAGGCGAGAAGGATGTGTAAGAAACAACAAGGAGTTCGGAAATTTTGGTCAATAAACATCTTAACATGGTCTAAATTAAGGGAATAGGTTGGTGGGCTCTTTCCCGCGGGGGTGGGAGCCAGGCTCAGCTGACAGCGCTGACGTTTTGTCGTGGCCCCCACCCCGAGACGTAGTAAGGGGCGAACTGTCGCTCCTGGGGTGATGTCACCTCTACTGCCTGTTGCTGCTGCGCAGCGCAACCGCTGCAGCCTCCTCAGTCCGTTGGCTCTGCAGACAGTCACCTTACGCTTAACAAGGTGCATCTAGGTTGCTGTCATCTTCATTGCGCGTTTCATATCTGTACTTAACTTTCTGGCCAGGGGGCAGTTATCCTGTGATCCCCAGCCTCTGATATTTGGTATCTAACGCTATTTTAAGAAACTACTGTTTTCAGTTAGCATTGCGTTTTGCAATCTCGCAGCATTTTTCAGATACTGGGATGGTCATTGCTGGCAATTTGCTGGGAGAAACAAAGCTGCAAGAACCAGCACGCGCCCTGCGCCCTGGGGATGAGGGAGCCTGGGATGCCCCGAGGGGCCGTGACTCCAGACAGCAGTGAGAAAGGGACCTCCTTCTGCAAGAAAAATGCTGTCCCACCGGAGTGTTAACTGGTGGTGGTGCTGAGAATGGTGTCTGGATGGGGCCTTAATGGTTACCACATTTATGAAGTGTCCTGGGAGAATAAACTTTAATCCCAGGAGATTGAGTTCAGAGGGTTTCTCCCATCTACTACTTCTGCAGTTCTTTCATCACATTCAGCCACTTGGCGATTTTATTATTGTTATTTTTAACGCAGATAAATTTTTCCAAAGCAAAAGCTGGCTATGAAAATCTGAAGATCAGTTTCCGAAACAGGAATGCTTAGCCCATTTCATGTTGCAAGCAAAATTATACCAGCATGCTAATAGTTTGACAAGTCTGTTCTTGAGCAGAGCTGTTAAGCAGATAAACAAACAAACAAAAACTCTGCTCATGCTTATATGTTGTGCTTGTGATGTTTGCTTTTTGCCTCCCTCTAAAAATGTTTTTAATGAAAAGAATGTGGTTTCAAAATGTCCTTTTACTTCTCTCATATAAATCAATGTCATGCAGTCCCCCCCATATATGTTATGGACGCTTAGAATACGAACACTCCATACGTTATGAAAAGGGTATCTGGAGTAATTTTTAACAATATTCTGAAATGACCAGGGTTTAAATTTGGCCTGGGATACTGAGCGGCTCATACTTCCCACAGTCTGCAGTTCCCTTGCTTTCCAGTCCCTTAGGAGGATTATGGAGAAGCTTTTCCCATCCCCACTGCAGAAGCAGCAAAGCAAACCACGAGCAGTCGCTGTGCTCTGCTGTAGCTGTCGCAGCCCAGGTTTTCATAGGGACGAGCGGAGGCACCAGCCAGATCCCGTGAAGCTGCAGGGGAAGGATGGTTGGGCTGGTGCACGTTAGTCATCCCGAGTGGGCCAGTCTCACAGGGAGGAACGTCGTCTTGAGAAAAGCCGTGAAGCTGAGCCGTGGGAAATGTCAGGCTTCTCTCTGGAAATAGCAAGCCCACCAGTAGCTTGTAGATTTAAAAAGACGAACAGAGCGAACTTTCCATAAAATACGTGGCATCCCGTGGATGTCTCGCAACTTCGCTCTTCTGTGTGCCACTTTTTCTGCTTGGAGTTTGTTCTGCCGCCATTTTAGCATCCCGGCTTTGCTGCAGAATGAATGGTGAACCGTATTTCACTGGTTTTTTTTAAAAAGTTTCTTCTTCCTCAACCCTCCTTAGTGTTGTAAGCTTTTTTCCTCTGAGATGTCCTTGTTCCTCTCTTATCTTTAGTATATTCTTCTTGTACCTCAAACTGTGCTCCCCCACATCCTTGGGCCTTTTAGTTCTTTCTACAGAGCTGTGGAACATAGGGGCAGAGCTGAGAGGAGGCGTTTTTCTACCTCAGTGTAAAATATTTTCCCCTCCTCCCTTGGTGGGATGCTAAGTCTTGAGGAGAAGACCACAGGCTTTTGTCATTAGGCAGAGGTCCAGGGTGGGAAATTGGAGTCGCATCTCGCCTGGGCTTGCTGAAAGGCTTTGGTTCAAGAAGTAGTAAGGTCAAGGTGAGGTCAGTCTTGGCCACTGCACACATGTTATGACCCTAACTTTGTTTCAAAATCGAAACCAGCTTGAGACCAAGCTGTAAAAAGAAATGCATGCAATAAAGTGAGTTTACAGAGGCGGCAGAAGCCTGAGTACAGTAATTTATTCATAGAAAGCATGTGGATTGGTTAATAAAGGGAGAGCGCAGCACAATAAGAGTTGTGAAGGAAAGTGGAGGCTATGAATTCTGCAGCATTTCGTCCTTTCTAATGCCCCAGCAATGCCTGGCCATCACCTCCATGGAGGGCATCATAAGCTGTGAAGGGGTCAAGATTCCTCCAAAGAGACGGGTGGTTTGGGAAGCTTCAGTTCTGGGGTGCCAGTCTCGAAAGAATCGGTAAAGAGATTAAGAAGTTAGTCCAGGAAGAAAATATGCTATTGATGTCCATCAGCTGTAGTGGATGCTACGTACAGGTTTCTGCCTAAGAAACTTAAAGTTGGTGAGGAGAAAAATAAAGGAACTGTGACTTTAGTGAAATGTTTTGTTGCAGTTTTTATCATTATTTGTGATAAAAGTGAAGAAGTGTAGTGGGCACACCGCTTGCTGGAGAGCTTGACTGATTCAGAGAAGAGCCTTTGGGGATGATGCTCGGGAGAGGCGTTGGGAGACCAGGCTGTTTGACTGGAAGTCTCTGGGCAGGCTGCTGGGTGTTACAGTGGAGAGCTGGAAAATGCCAATACTAGGACCATTTCTAAGTGCTTATTTAGAAAAAAAAATATGGAACCGCTCACTGATACAGCCCCACCTCCTGTAAAAATATGCTGGAGAAAAAGGTTTTTGTCAGAAGTCAGCTGAGGCAAGTTAGAGCCCTCCGCGGCTGGAGGGGCCGTGGTGCTGCCTGCCTCCCAGCCGTGCGATCCGCCTCCTGCCAGCTCTGGCTCTGCTCTGACTGCAGAGCAAACCAGTTTAATTTCCTGATCTGCCATCCCCCGCCCCACCCCGCAGTTTGCTTTATCTGTGTTAACTTTCTGCCATTTTAGTGATCTCAATCAGCTTATCGTATGATCCGATGAGTGCCAGAAGGAGCCCGGTGCTCCGGGGAGAAATATGCGACAGGAGGCTGGAGGGAGGCAGGGGAAGGAAGGGTAGGAGCTCCCCGCTGCAGGAGCTGGGATCTATTAATTCAGCTCCAGCTGTACTGAGAAACCATACCCTTATGGTGGCGTGGCTGAAGGGAGACAACGTCTTGTTCTTGTCTAGCTATCTTGAGACAGGCAAAGTGAGCTGTTGCAGGTCTGATACATCGCTTCAAGAAACCTCACCTTTTTTTACTGATGAAGACCAAAACAAAGAGGAATGTCCTTTTACAACCCCCTAAGCATGCTTGCATTTACCTAGTAATATGTCACCCAGATACCAGGCACTGGAGCTTAGAAATAAAGTATGCAATACGTGGAGTTTAACTATTCTGTCATGTTAATAAACTATAATTACTGACTATGAGCTTTGCTAAAGTAAACGGAAGGGAAGCTGTGAATGTAATCTGTCTGTGCTTAATCTTGGTAATCATCCTTTTAACGTGGAGAAAAAGAAACGGTTTCTAAGATTTGTGTAAGAATATTTTAAAAAGAAACTTTTCTTTTTTTAGCCATCTAGAATACTTGTTTTTTCTTATGAAGTATCAGAAGGGTCCAGCACAGCTGGGGAAAACCCAGCAGCTGGAGCTCTCATCTGAATGTTTTGCTCTGTGTATGCTGAAGGGATGGGTGAGATGCTGGTGTTGACAGTTCTCTCTCTTCTTCAGGGCCGGCATGTCAAAACGGGTCAACTGGCAGCCATCAAAGTCATGGACGTTACTGAGGTGAGTAGAGGAACATTCTGCTTTATTAGCAATATGGGTAAAATTTAATAACGAGAGATGGCACATGGCTTACCTTGTAGTTGTGTTGAAGGGCATGGTCTTTGCATGCGAACGTTTGCTTTCTGTTTGCAGGACCTGACCTCTCGAGCCCATCTGCCCTTTACGAGATTTCTGTGTGCTTTGTGTACTGGGGCCTCTGGCCTTCACAGATTGCTTTGGCTGGTCCCAGGATGCGTGAGCACGTGTAGCACTCCCTTTTCAGAAATTTCTCAGGAGAGGGGAAAAAAGCCGATTTCCCTGCTTCCCACTTTTTTTCTCTTCAATGTAGCATCTTGCTTTTACCCAAAAAGAAGGTGAGGAGGCTGCTTGACGTAGAGGACAGTAGTTTCCCTGGTACATTTGCAGCCTAAAAAGGGTATACATTTATTCAAAGGAAATGGGTCCAATAAAGTTCCCAGAAGCCTGAAAGCAGAAACAGCTGCAGGAACGATGAGCAGATTGCTGGCAGAATTCAGCAGTGTAAAGTAGTAGTTGTAACTGACCCAGGGGGATTTACTGTGGAGCTTTAGATGGGAAAGATGGGAAATTAACCCAGCCAAAGAAATAAAAAATATATGCCCATATTTGAATCCTTAGATGCCTTGCAGTTTATGCTGTTCAAAAAGCAATCAGTTTAAATTAAGTCTTCAAAACAGATCAGGAAAAGCATGGGTTTTTCCCTGTTGATTCCATTTGTGTTTTATAGAGTTACATCTGCAAATTAACACAACAGCTTCAGATTTAAAATCGAATGAGATCCTTGACGGATATGGTACTTATGAGGAGAGGTTGCGCCTCTTCAAACCAAGTGTCTTATTTTTCTGAACTCCTCAATCTTATATAGGTATTAGGGGAAAAATTACGTTAACGTGTACATTGTACAAAGCAAGGGGTCTTTGGCAAGCTAGTTATATTAAGAAAAACTCCTACAAGTGTGTTGCTGCAAAATGTTTTATATTTTGGTGTGTGTATAGGTGCCAACAAGTAAAAATGGCCTTGGACACAAGCTCCCAGGAGAGCGGCTGGGGTGTAATGGTAAACAGGCAGGAGAGGGAGGAAAACAAGAAGGCAGGGTTAGGTCAACTGATAGGACTTCAGTCATATCTCTAAATCTCCTTGTGATCGATGGGCAGTGTGACTGCCGCTCTCTGGCTGAAGCTGTTGTGTCTGCCAAGAGCTAGCGCAACATTCTTGCTTTGGAAGATGGCCTGATAAAAATCAATTTTCAGCTGGAGATTTTCAAAGGCTGCCTTCATGAGGAGGCCATGTTATTTTGCTGCAGTTAACAAGCAGACAAACCAGAGAAGAACGAAGGTGCGTTGACATACAGTGAATGTTCTTTGCACAGCAAACGTTTCCATTTGTGCAGCAGTTTTACACAGGGAAGCTTGCTGGACTGTGCACGACGAAGGCTTCTTCCGTAACATTAAGATTGGCTGTACTGCACACTCCCTCTTAATAGCATATATTAATCACAAACAGTTGTAATGGAGAGGTTGCACAGCAAAAGGAAAACAATTGAAAAGTGCTGTCTGTAGTATGGCTGAGCTCATGTTGCGGGAGATGGCTTATATTTTGAAACTTTCTGTGATTTTTGGCTGGTTTTGAAACGCTAGTTGTATATTGGCACTGTCTATCTTTTATCTCACAAGCTCATGCTTTTTTAGGGGATGAAGGGCAGTCAGAGGGAGGAGTTTGGAGAGGTTAGCCCCATGCAGCTTAAAAGTGTTGTCATTCCTACCAGTGGAGCTCATGTGTTTTTGCTTCAAAGTAATGAGCCTGCGGAGGCTAAAAATGTGGTGTAAATTCTTCCAAGTCGTGCTAAGTCAGCTCCACTTTTTAACACCATGCGTGGATGATACTCTTGCTAACACCAGGCATGGGTGATACCGTTGCATGTACCGTTTTCTCAGTGACAGATGTGGCTGTAGGATATTCCTGTCCACTCTTGCTTGCTGGTTCCTCACCTGTCTCCCAACACTTGTGCCGGCACAACTGCCCCAGGGCCAGATGGTGACCTGGATCAGTGAACAGGACCCGGTTCCAGGTTAAAAATACCCTCATTCCTCTCTTTCCCCCAGTTATTTATAACCTGGATCGGTTCGTTGATCTAGTTTAGCACATGACATTACAAACAGTTGTGCTGTCGCTGTGAAGAAGGTGGCATGAGATTGGAAAAGAGCTGCTGATGGCCATGGGGGAGAACGGGCAGTAGCTCAAATTGATGTTGCTGCCAGAGGTGGCCATATCATCAAGCCATGGCTTCAGTTCCTCAAGGGATGGTTTCAGGAACGCCTCCTTTTGCTGGCGGACTGTGCAGCTCCATCCTGGTTCCAGCTCACCACGGCTTACGGGGAGGGTGGGAGGAGAGCACGTGGGGACAGAGGGGGCAGTGACTGCCACCCTCAGCACTGCCCCGAAAGAAATGCTGAAGGAACCACAGGTCAAATTTACCTTCTCTGCCTGCTTCCAGGACTACGGTTAGATGAACTGCTCTTGTAGGCTAATGGTAACACTGACTGTGTCCATGCCCATGGGGAAAGGGGCTTGAGCAGAAATTTCACAAAACTGAAATCGTGATTTTTTGATGAGTGGCTACTGAAGCTCTAGGTGATTTGTGCCTCTGTGCATGTTTTACTGGCAGCGTTATGCCCTTCTGCTTAAATACAAGCAGTGCTGTGGAGGCTATCTGATTATTTTGTCTAACCTGCATTGAGAACAGACACAAGACTGACTTTCTTCTGGGATACCTCTGATCCAGTGCTTGCTTTGCCAAATGCTTAACAAATTAGAAAGCCTAATGTGTTGGCACACTCTGTGGGCACACCCCAGATTTTCAGTTTTCAAGGCCCCAATTCTGCAGTTCACATATTGCTCAGGATTGGCGAGGTTACATCAGTTCTGGGCAGTAAAGCTTTGATCACCCGAACGGGAGGCTTGTCAAAGTCAGAGTGAAGGCTTTCCTTAAAAAGTTTTGGTTGGCACGAAGAAAACGAGGTAGTGTAACCTCTGACTAGAGAGGTTGGAAGAAACATTACAGCTCTGTAATGTGCATGGCACTGTGGAAGTGCTCTTCATCCTTCTCAGCTTTTCTTGTGGTTTTCTCTTCAGATTTTAATTTTGAAAAGAATGGTGGCAAGGATGAGAAAAGAGGAGGTGGGCTGAAGATATCAGCTTGATCTTTGAATATATTATGACTAGTTAGTACTGCTGCCTGAAACGTTGGGGGGGTGTTGATGTGCATAAAACTTTCCTGTCTCTTCCACTTTCCTCCTCTCTAAACAAATTAAGAAAAGGCTTAGAAGATTGTGTGGATTGTTACAGATCTTTAGATCTACAGCTCTAAAGCAAGCACTAAAGCATCTGTAAGATCTGAAGTTCTAGAAGTCTTCCTGCAGAACGGTGCATATACAGGTCCTATTTCCACTTTCTGAGGGTGAACCTAGAGCACGTGTAGGGTGAAAAAAATTTCACTGGAGCACAGAACAAATAAAAACAAAAAACCACCAGTCCTCATCAATTGAAAGCTATTCTGTTGTTGGAATGAGCCCAATGACTGTAAAAGGGGAACAATACGAACTATCAGCGTATACACGCTTTAAAAGTTATTTTCCAAAATGTACATATTTAGGATGACTCTCGGGCTGCACGCGTGTTGGGGGGGAACGACACATTATTTGAGAGATTCCTGTAGTCTGTCTTTAATCTTTTCATGGTAGGGTCTCTGCTCCTTTTGGGGCGTTGTTTTGGAGAAGGCAGTGTTCAGTCCCTGTTGACCCCTTCCACTCACTAACCATGCTGTGAGGTTCGCGTGAGCTCCTTGCTGCGTGCTGGTGTGCGGCACCGTAGCATACCAAGTGAGCCGTGACTGATGTTATCAGATGCAACACAAGTACACTGTAAGATTTGGCAGTCGCTGTTTAGTTAGAAGAATCCATTTTCTTGTGAAGCAAATAACATTTAAAACCTTAGCAAAGCTTACTTGGCAAATCTGCCTGCATCTAAGCTGTGAACTTGCATTACACCCTAAACAGACGGCTTGACTTTGCTTAACTCTTTTGGAGGCTTTCTTTGCAGCTGCACGGTTGTTTCCCACGTCACTCCTGTGTTCCCCTTCCAGCGATGCTTTTCTCTTTGAAAGGTTTAGTAACTGATTTTGAGGGAAAAGCACAATCGCTTCTTTTCTGTTTGTTATAACCCCTGATGCTGCTGCTTCTTCCTCCTACCTCTTCCCACACACACTCTTGGCATCCCTTGGGAAAGTTTTCCGCATGCCTTTTTAATAGCAGCATTTCTCAGCTCTTGTGCCCAGTGTTTCATGACTTGTCCAGTCTAGTCTGTGTAAAATTATGCTAAGTAAACAACTGGATACTGTATCCTGCTGATTTATGAAAGAAGCTGGATTGCTTTTAGCGCTTGCCTGTCTTGCCCTTTCTGTACGTGCTCTGCAGAAAAATTAACAACCCCAAACCAAAACCTCCAGGCTTGCAGAGAAACGTGGCACATCTCCCGTACCTAGACAGGAAAGGTTACCCGAATTATTCATTGCCATCTTCCCGACTCTGCTGACTGCTTTTTTCTGTTGCAGTAGGCAAGTCACTTTGATTCTTGTGAGTCTATATCTTATGGCCTACGTGGTGTTATAAACTGCGATCATGTGGATGATCTATCCATCGTCTGTAAGACATACCAAAAGCAGTCTGCAGAAAGACTGCAGATAAATAAAAATGTGTGTGTTCCCACACATGCAGGCAGACAAAATGAGGGGAGAAGAAAAAATAATAAACACCAAAAGTTTGCCCTAACTTCTATGTGCGTTTTTTTTCATGAAAACCCAAAGACGGTCTGTGGATTTTGGTCTGTTTGGAGGCAAAAAAATTAAGAAGTTGATGCCTCACTTCAGAAGACTGGGAAATGCAGGTCCTCACGGCACTGTGCAACAGAACTGCGTCAAGCCAGTC